CCTCCTCTCAATTACAGCCCGCCACATCAATCCTCTCTGGATGAAGTTCATGCCCAACCGGTACACCTACAGGGGGGCCTTCTTGTTGGAGCGCCAATCATGCAACAAAATAAAGTCCTCCATAGATGAGTCTTTTTTGTCAGTAGGCCACCTGCCTCCTTCTTCCTCAACCTTTCTACAACTCCATAGCCCGGCTCGAGGTCCATCTCCCTCACCTCCATAGCCCAGAGCTACTCCTGCCTCTCCCTACTACTTCTCCATAGCCATGGAGCTCTTCTCCTTCACCCTCCATCTCCACCTTTCAATCTCTAGGAGCTTGACTACCTTCTCCCTCCACGCTGAGAAGCAGCATGACCTTTTTTTTTTTACCTTTTTTTTTTTTTTTTTTTTTTTTTTTTTTTTTTTTTCCTCCGTCTATTGGTGCGGAGCAGCACCTGCTGGAAACCCGGTCCAGTTTTTAAAAAGAAAAAAAATAAAGAAACCCGGTCCAGTGTCCCTTTTACAAGGAGGTAGGAAAATTATAGAGAGAGGTTGGAACAAAAGGCTTGTGAGGTTGTGAACTCCACCAGCATTGATTGGCCGGGAGCATGGCACCACTACATGTAGCAACAGGGATTGGAATTAAGATCATGAATGTGGGCGTGTTTTAGGCAGAGATGCAGAAAAGGAGTTCAATCTCGAATTTCTGCACTTTTCCAGGAACAACGTCTAGATTCAGGCGTTCAATCCAATCCATGTTGCTAGTGGGACCTCGCCCCGGGGAAGGCCTCGTGGATTAACTGAAGCAGCATGACTGCCGGGTGAATAAGAAGCTGAATGCTAATGGGCCCAAATGGTATACCTTTGCCTGCCGGCCCCCAGGACTTCTTGGGCCCAAATGGTATACCTTTGCCTGCCGGCCCCCAGTACCTCTTGGGCCCAAATGGTATACCTTTGCCTGCCGGGCCCCAGTACCGCTTGGGCCCATGGGCACTTTCCTACCACAACCGACCTCCCTTGGGTGCACCAGGCCTACCATGTGTTAACCGGCTTTCAGCAGAAACATCATTGCACGACGATATATATCTACCTACAGGCCCTTCCTGTTTTTTTTTTTTTGATCGGGCTGCTATGCAATTGTAATAGGGGGGACGCTGGGCCCATTTCCCAGCAGGTGCAGCTCCCCACCAATAGATGGAGCAGCAGCTTTCTCAAGCTGTACCCCGGGGCTGCTCCTGCTGGGAAATGGGGCCAGCGTTCCCTATTACAATTGAACAGCTTGATGTGTCTGCTCCTACCAGCATCTCAAGCTGTACCCCGGGCTGTTTGCATTAAAAAAAAAAAAAAAAAAGGACCTCTACTGGCCCTGGACCACGATTATCTACCGAATAGCCACTGAACCGTTTCAACCCCGACGGACCTGGTGGAGAATCCCTACCAGCCATCTTCCCGTCCGCGATCGCAGCCCTGTTTCTAGTGGACAGGGTGGAGCCATTATTAGCTACCGAATATCCTCTAGAAGGTTCTACTTACATCCCTGGGACCACTAGAGTACTGGAATTATGTCCCTGCTATCCTCCCGTCCGTGATCCCGCCCCTATTTCAACCTTGTCCCTTTACGAGACTCGCACAGCCACATATCACGGCCAACCGGGTTAGCAGAAGGAATCAAATTGGGACCCATAACTCGGCATACATGCATCAGCACCGGAATCCGGATGACATACATACTTAGAAAATATATAGCAAACACAGTCCTGGATTTGGAATTCTCAGCAATCAGGTCAAAAGCGGAACCTTGCTCAGCTACTAGCAGCAGCTTTCTCACACTGAAAACTGTGTGGGTCATTACATTCCCATGGGAGGTCCCTTCGAGCTACTTTCAACTTTCAAGTTATAGCAGTTCTAATGAAGGGGCTAGCTGGTAGGATAGAAATAGGGTATAGCAGCAGCGGAGATGGTGGCTCTGCTGCAGTAAGTCTTGCCGGTGCAAGGGAAAGAGGACTGATGGGGGATTCCTGAGTCGTTCTCTGAATTTTGTCTATTTCTGAAGTTTGTCGCAGTAATTTCCTAAGTAGCTCCATTTTTTCTTAGCCAAAGCCAGGTAATGGCCCCCGTATCTCAAGTTTCAAAGTCTATGTAAATTTCCATATGGGATGCTGGGCCCGGTTCCCAGCACGTGCTGCTCCCCACGAATAGATTGGAGCCTTGTCCTCGTTAAAAAAAAAAAAAAAAAAAAAAAAAA